GAGATGATATACAGCAGCTGGCGAATATATGCGGAAGGGAAGGTGAAGCTCTTGGACTAGGATTCAGTGTAACGAAGTGTGGATTGATGGTATTCAATGATCCCTGTGATCAGACGGTGTCCATACAAGGCCAAGAAATACCGAGGGTAAGTGAATACAAGTACCTTGGAGTATGGGTAAATGAGAGGGATAGATACATGGAGGTACAGGAAAAAGCCTCGGCAGCAAAAGGAAAGAGGAACGCGGCAATAATGAAGTACAGAGCGTTGTGGGGATACAATAGGTATGAGGTGCTTCGAGGTCTGTGGAAGGGTGTAATGGTTCCAGGGCTTACTTTTGGGAACTCAGTGGTGTGCATGAGGGCAGAGGTGCAATCGGGAATGGATGTAAATCAAAGGACTGTGGGACGCCTCGCGTTGGGTGCTCACGGGAAGAGGACAAACGAGGCTGTAAAGGGCGATATGGGGTGGGCAGGTTTTGAGGCGAGGGAAGCGCAGAGCAAAATAAGGTTCGAAGAAAGGCTAAGAAATATGAAGGAGAGTAGATGGGCAGAGAAGGTGTTCCGTTATTTGTATAGGAAGAGCGTGGACACACAGTGGAGAAAAAGAACTAGAAGACTCACTAGTAAATATACGGCTGGTATTGTGAGCCATATGTCAACAAAGAGCGTTAAGGGAAAAGTCAGGGAGGCGGAGAGGATTTACTGGATGGCGGCTATGGAGAAAAAACCGGCTTTGAGTAACTACCGAAAGGGCAAAAATGAAATAAGGAGGGAGGCATTTTACGATAATTCAAGGGGAAGCGCTTTACTGTTTGAAGCGAGATCGGGTTGCCTTAGAACGCGTAGTTATAAAGCAAGATTCAGTAAAGAAGAAGAACAATGCACATGCTGCGGGAAAGATAAGGAAACGGCGGAGCATGTTCTGGTTGAATGTGGAGATATCCACCCAGGTGTACGTTTGGGCACGAGCCTACAGGAAGCCTTGGGTTTTAGGGACAACAATGGAAAGCTGAACACACCCGCGATTGAAATAAGTAAGAGACGGTTAGAGTATTGGTGGCAGAAAATTAGAGAGAAAGGACAAAAATAAATATTGGAAAAATAAAATATGGACAGTGTGCCGTAAATGGCAGAGAACTTAAGCTGAAAATTTACCTTTTTTCCATTAAGATAGAATTTATTGAAGTAGAGGCATTAGGCCAACATAAAAAAAAGGGAAAAAAGGTTTTTTTTTTTTTTTTTTTTTTTGTCGAGCCTGGTGGCATACTTGTCACGACCCCGTTATAAAGGGGACGCTCATAGCATCCATCCATCCATCTTCCGCCGTTGTGCCGGTGATGGACCTCGGAGTGACAGACGGGGCGGCGCCATTTTTATTTTGTGTGGCGCATCGCTCGCATCGAGTCAATAAGTTTTCGTCGAATTGATGTCTTTGAGCCAGTGCAGGTGAGGGACGATGAGCCGACACTTGAAATAGTTCAATGCAGGATTTAAACTGCAAGTGATTGAATACGTCGAGAAGCATGGCAAGGGCAAAGCTGGACACAAGTACGGCTAAAATGAGAAGCACGTGCGTTATTGGATGAAGCAGAAAGATGCCCTCGTTGCCACCAATTGTAGCCGAAAAGCCTTTTGCGGGAAGAAGTGCAAATATCCAAAACTAGAAGGCGAACTTCTCAAATATGTCCTCGATACTCGAAGGGACAGCTACGCCGTATCGACTGATATGATACGCGTGAAAATCCTGAACATCGGTCGCCAGATGGAAATCCCTCAGGCACAATTCAAGGCAAGTGTTGAAGATGGACTATGCGGTTTATGAACCGCAACCAGCTCTCTATTCACCGCCGAATGACGATTTGTCAAAGACTTCCAAGCAAGTACACATGTAAGGCGATGAAATTCCATCACTTTGTGAATGGTCTTCGGAGGGAGCACTAATATGACCTCTCCCAAATTGGCAATGCGGACCAGACTCCTGTGTGGTTCGACATGCCAGAGAGCACCAGAGTCAACTTAAAAGGCACGAAAAGTGTGACTGAGCGCACGACCGGTGCAGAATGTCAAAGGTGCACTGTGATGCTGTGCGCGATGGCAGATAGCAGGAATTTCCGCCGTACGTCGTGTACAAGAGGAAGACTCCTAGGAAAGAGGTTCCTTCAGGACATTATTGTGTGTGCCCAAGAAAAGGGTTGAATGTGCAAGGAACTTGTGGTAAACTGGGTGAAGACCATCTGGGCAAACAGACCTGGAGGCCTGCTACAGCGGAAAGCCCTCCTTCTTCTGGACTGTTTCAGGGGCCACTTGACGGATTGTGTCAAAAACAGACTCGCCACGACTCATACACATTTGGCCATTATTTCTGGAGGACTGACGAGTGTGTTGCAGCCGCTCGATGTGTGCAGTAACCTTCCATTTAAAGCAAAATTTCGCCGCTGCTATTCAAAATGGATGGCTGAGGGCAATCATGAGAACACCCCGACGGTACGGCTGAAGCAGGCGTCACTCCAACAAGCTTTTGAGTGGATTTTGAGTGTGTGGTGTGCGGTTTCATTTGAAGTAGTCGCCAAAAGTTTCAAAGTAACTGGAATTTCAAACTGCATGAGCGTCGCTAAGGATGATCATCTCTGGGAGGACGTCAATGCCCAGGCGAGTGCTTTCGATAACAAAGACAGTGAGAGCGAAATGGAATCTTAATAAAAACATTCCTGGCTAGTCATTTGTGACTCTTTCACTCTGCTACTGTTGTGAAAACAGTACAGACCTTTAGTGAGTTGTCATCAGTGTGATTCGTGTAAGGGACCAGAAAAATATGTTCTATTAACAGGAGTTCCGTTTACTGAGAGGTCAACATGGGTGCAGAATACAAGCTCGAAACCAAGCACTTCAGAGGCAATAGTTCCGCTTAAGCAGTAGTTCCGTTTAACAGATTTCTATTTACTGAGAGTCTACTGTACACGGTATGTATCGCCTATGTGTAGACTACAGCAGGCTAAATGGCGTTACAAAGAAGGGCGCCTACCCTCTTCCATCTATTTCATCCTTAGTATCCAACCCAGGTGGGGCGAAGTACTTCACAGTACTCGATGCTAGCTGTGGATACTTTCAGGTTGAAATGAACGAGCGGGACAAAGAAAAGTCAGCTCCCACATGACACAGAGGATTTTTTCAATTCAGGAGAATGTCCTTTGGCTTGGTAGGAGCTCCCGCTACATATAAGAGGTTAATGGACCGTGTTTTGGGAGGTGCAAAGTAACAGCACGCCCTTGCATAACTAGACGACATAGTGGTTTACTCGAAAGCGTTCGAAAAGCACTTGGACCAGAGACGTTCTAGAAAGGCTGAGGTCTGCAGCCATCACTCTAAACCAAAACAAAGCTCAGATAGCGGCAACCCGAATAACATTATTGGGATTCACACTTGACAAGAGTCACATTTTGCCGAATAAGAGTAAGCTAGAAGCGATAGTCGGCTATCCGTCGCCGAACAATATCGGTGAGCTTAGGCCCTTTCTGGGGATGGTGAACTTCTATCACCAATTCACTATAGACTGCGTGGCAGTGCAGGCATCTTTGACGAAGCTCTTGAGAAATGGTGAGCGTTGGGCTTGGAGCCAGAAGCAGGAGGTCGCACTGTGTCGACTCACGAAGTTGCTGGTTAAAAAGGCTGAACTGCAGCTACCAAATTTGAACAGGGAGTTTGTGATTGAAACAGACGCAAGCGACCAGAACTAAGGAGCAGTTCTGCTTCAGGACCATGGAGGTTCCCTCTGACCGATTGCGTTCGCGAGCCATTTGTTGATGCCGGTGGAGAGAAGCTACTCCATAACCGAAAAAGAGTGCCTCGCAATAGTTTTCGCTCTCCATAAGTTTGACTTCGATGAAGTTGCATTTGTGATTGAGACTGATCACATGGCGCTCACATAGTTCAGGCGCTTGAACGAAACAAGTGGCCTCCTGGCTCGTTGGGCATTGCTGCTGCAGCATTACGATTCACCGTTCGCTACCACAAGGGTAAGAACAATGCTACAGCCAACGCACTACCACGTGCTCCAGTCCGACATGAAAGTCACGCAACTAGCTCGGAACGAACTGAGAGCGAGACACTTGTGCTAATGGAAACAGCGGAGCAAAGGTTAGTTCAAGGCAAAAGCGTGAACCACGTAGAGGATGTCGATAGTGAAGGGATTGTTTTCAGCAGAAAAGAACTCTTGGAAGCTCAGCAGAAAGATTCGTTTCATCGAGAGATGTTTGACGGGCTTCAGGAGCCAGGTGGCTGTGAGGCCACCATGCACATGGGGGCAGCTGGTATTGCTGTAGGTGCGGAGCGCTCGGCAACAACTGGTAGTGCTGTGAGCTCGCAGGATTCTTATCTGTTGAATTCTTTCTGATGGAGTCCTGCTGAGGTACACCCATCCAAGGATGACACAAGTGAGTCATCCAAGGTCTTGAAACCACGCACATTGAGAGGAGCACATATTCGCTACTTTCATGATTCGTGCATTGCCGGGCATGCGAGCAGCCCTAAGACTTATGCCAAGTTGTGTGGCCTCGTTACCTGGCCAGGCATGATGCGAGATGTGATTCACTACACCCGTTCATGTCGTGTGTGCCAAAGCGTCAAGCCTTAAGGTGGACATCCACCCTGCCTCATGCAACCGATTAACAGCCAGACTCCCTGGCAAATCGCGTCGAGTGACGTAATGGGCCCGCACCCCACAAATCCTAGCAGAAACCAGTTCTTGCTGGTGATCACGGATCACTTCGCTAAATGGGTGGAATTTTTCCCGCATAGAAAGCTGATGGCTCGAGTGATTGTAGAGAGGTTGATGGAGGTTTTCACCAAATGTTCGGGTTCCTTTTAAAATACCATAGTTCGAATTATTGAGGTTTTTTTGTACGTTACAGTTAAAGTGGCTGAGGGCTCCATTGTGCCCAAAATATCAAACAAGCACTCCTCAAATTGACAAGTCACTAATGCCTGGGAGGCTGCAACTCACCTCATCCGGGCACATAGCTGGCTGCTCTTTCTCCTCTGGCTCCAATTCTGGCTCTTCCTCTTTCACTGCACACTCAGCCCAGCCTGTAAAACACCACAGTTAGCAGAAAATATTTTGCTGGAGTATTACACAGCTCAAACACTATGCCTAATGGACGTATTTGGGCAATTCTTCTGCCACACAACAGCAATCGTCATCTGGCGGCTTTGTGTACTGTTTCTACAGTGCACTTACTACTTGGCTATCAAGAGTGTTGCGCGCCGCTGATTGATAGCCAAACATTCTTCATGATTGGGAAATACCACATGTGAGGAATTAACGCAAGAACAGTAGGCAAGACAGGCAACAATCATTGCTACGTAGAAGAATGACTCCCCAAATACAACCAGTTAGCTTACAGAGGAGGCCACACGCAGCACAGGCACCGATAGTGCAGGACCGGCTAAAAAGGAGTTCTTTAACTACTTTATAAAGTAGATACATATGCCCGAAATTTCAGTCGCCGTTCAACACAGTTTCTATGTAGTGCAGTTCCATGGAGTAGTTCACATGATGTAGGAGGCCTGAAAAGTTCAGAGGCGACTTTCCGGAATAATGCATTCACCTCCCAGCTTTCTTTCGTTTTCTGACTTCATTTTGTTGCTAAAGTGCACATTTGGCTGCTAGCCTATCAATATGCTTCGTTCACATGCCTCGTTTCCCCGATACATGCGGCTGCTAGCTCAACATGTTTTTGCACGTATGCAGGCTTCGAAAAATGTTTTAGTTTACAGAGCAGCAATCCTTACAGAGCACATATTTGTCAACCATGATTTAAGCTACAAGCTGTCTATGCCATTCCTGCAATACTAAAGGGTACTATAGGAACAAACAGTAGCAAGATTCAAAACAAGACGTTGCCAGACCTGCTGGTGGCCAGCCAAACAAGCATTTTTCATGTTTGCAACTTGCTTGAGCCGTGTACTGTTATAACCATGCACACTCACAAATAAAACACCTTTTGCCATATGAGCCAAATGTTATTACATTAAAAGGAGCAAGAAATCTTACGTCAAATGACAGAAACGACTAAAAGCCCTTCATAATATCAACATTACGTACAAAGCGAGTAGGCTGACAGGTATGCTGACCAAAATTTTCTCAATATTAGTGTTTGTAGCAGGAGAAGACACGTGAGACGACATCGTGAAGGAGGCCGACGGGGCCCTGCCAATCTCGCCACTTTTATTCCTCAAACAGAATAGAGCAGCGGCGGATGCCAGCGTCCGACACGCCTGGTGCGTGAACCTATTCCGTTGCTCGCGCAGCTCGAACTAAACATGAACTGCGCAAGAGGCGCGGCACGGTGTCTAAGAAATGATGATGATGAGAAATTGCTAGCACGACGCTACAGATTGCTCCCCTACTCCCCAACCCCCACAGAAATGAAACCGGAATGAAACAAATAAGAGAATATCTACAAGTGGGTTACAAAACGGTCCGTGAGCAGTCTAGGTCATTAACAGGAAGGCACTATTGGCAACCAGTGAGTCTCTGGCGGGCGACACTGTGAATGGCGCAGAGGGTGATGGTCGTGACGAAGGAACACTTCGGTGCAGTCGGTTGTCGCACGCACTCGAGCACTGATGTATGAAGGATGAATTGTAGCATGAGTGTAGAACAGCCAGTCCAGTGGGTCTAGATGTACGTCCATGTTGCTTCTGGAGGGAGCCTTGATGGGGAGTACGGTCCATGCAGATAATGTGTGCTGGTAGCGTTGCTTGCGGCAGCACATTACCGGCTGCAGCAGCTGCGTGGTCTGCAGAGTAGGGTGCAGACGAGTTGGTAGTCGTGTGCTGTGGACAGAGTCATACCTGCCAAACTGAAGCATTCTGAATCCGGGAGATTTTCGCAGCGGAGGGGGGGAAGGGGGGGGGGGGGCTGAATTATTTGCTCCTATTTTTTTGTGGCACAAAAAAATAACACCAGAACAAACAAACAAAAAAAACATCGGCGCGGGCGGGGGTGGGGGGTCTCAATCGCAAGTGCAAGCATCAGCATTGGGGTCGGCTTGGAGTGGCCGAACACATGAAGGTAGGGTTTCCCACTAAGGTGAGAGTCTCAAAGGATTAACACAACTAGCAGAATATTTCCTTCAAAACAGATTGTGTACAGTCAAACCTCAATATATCGAACACGGATATATCGAATTATTGCCTATATCGAACGGTTCCTAGATCACGCGGGAAATCGCATGCATTATTGATTTTTTATTTCAAACAAAGTTTGACATATAATGGATATATCGAACTCAGCCACCCCAAACCGCCCGCGCTCCATTGACAGGCGGCGAACTTTCCCGCAACTCTCGAAAGTAGCGGTAGAGCGGCGGGCGTTTACGAATGCTACACACATCGATGGCGCCAAGAGCACCACTTTTAAGGTAGCGGCGTATGCGCGCCGCAGCCTTGCAGCTTGCAGTCGTTGCAGTCTCTATGGTGTCAACGGCACACTGCGCACTTGTTGCAAGCTCCTCCCCCGTAGCATCGGCAGGCATCGGTCGTTGTGCTCGCAGTGTTCGTACGTTCGGAGTTAGGCCTGTCGCACGCTGTGGTGCACTACAGGCCTAACGGCGGAGCTCATGGCAGCGCTCACGGATGTGGAGATTGTCGCCAAAGCTACTGCTGAGCAGCCAAATGAAGACTCTGCCGAGGTGGATCCCGCAAGCGCTGATGGTGCCCCGCTCCCGACATCAGCTGAGGTCGTAGCTGCCTTGACCCTTGCGCGCCGCCACTGCGGCGCGATTGAAGACACCGGCCTATCACTTATGGATCGCCTGGACTATATTGAGGACGCAGTCGTCAAACACGCCATGGCCAACAAAAAGGAGGCTGCTCTTTTTCAATATCTTAAACCAACACAATAAATACTATGTTTGAATCTTCAAGTGAGTATTTACTGCACCACGCATGAACGGTTCGTTGGTTGTTTTCAGCAAGCTGTTGACGCATTTTTTCCGTGATTTTTTTTATATCGAATTCTGGATATATCAAACTATTTCGCGATTGCCGCGCCGTTCGATATATCGAGCTTCGACTGTATGTCTTACTGGGACACCCGTGAACAGACGGGAGGGCGCAGCTGGCTGCCCCAAAAACTCGGGTCAAGGCTTTGCTCCCTACTAGATTCTTTAGACAGGAATGCCAAAACGTGTCTGGCCCCTTTGTTATTGACAGTCTAGGCTGGTCTTTTGCCGTCGCCGCCACCGTCGTCATTCACTGTATATGTACACTTATCTATATATATTAACACTCTAGAAACAAACAGCCGCGCTCGGTGCCCAGCTTGTCGCAATGTGCCGACGGGCGCTTATCTCTGATGCGTACTTTGCCCCGCGGAGGGGGGGGGAGGAGGGATTGATGCTTGTGCGCGCGCTTATGTTTCTGTGGGGATAATCGTGTGTCTTCGGCTTTCACTGGTACGATTGCGTTATTTGCCGGGCCCACAAAGGTATCTTCGGTCTACGCACAGGCCCCGTTTGCGAAAAGAGCGCGCTTTTCATACACAGCGAGGTATAGGGACACTTGTTAGTGTGTACTCATCCGTACCTGTGATTATGTATCGAGCACCGCTTTTTTTTTTTAAACAGCACATTACGTGTTGTGCGGTAAACGTTTTAGTTCGGTCACGTTTTGTGTGTATTGTTTTCGTGTATAATTTGTGCGTGAGCAGCGCACTGCACGTTTTGATCTGCTTGCCGTTCTCGGTGTGACATTCCAAGTTGTTGCTATCGCATTCATTGCTTCGCCCCTGCGGCGAAACTGACTTTTTTTACGTATTTACTGCCTTTAGTCTGCTGCTGCATGCCCTTGGAGCTCGTAGATCGCTATCGCGCCGCCACGACCACAGTGTTGTGCGTGGCGGTAGCGGCAAATGGTAGTTCATTTTTCAATCCACGTGCACTTGACTGCGCACACGTCTTCAAAACAAAGTCGTTTTATGTCGTCTACGATCGTATCTGACGCGATATTATCCGCAGGGTTTGCGGAAAGCAGCGTTGCTTTGACTGGTTGAGTGTTGGACGCACGCACACTTTCGGCAATCTGTCAGTTACGTCGTCGCCATACATGATCGCATCAAAAGCGACCACGGTTTCGTCGACAGCAGTTGTGGCAACGACAATCACGCACACTATAAAAGACAGAGCGTGCACCGGTCGCATGTGTACTTCAGAAGCTTCGAGTACGCTGCTCTTGGCCTTCGTTTGACAATTTCCGTACTAAAGTTCGTATCACCTGCCGCGATGAGAAAATGTGTTGGGAACATTCGAATTTAGGCCCAATAGACATAATAAAATTTCTCTGAGGAATTTCACGAATTTGTATCTGCCGCGGTTTCCCATCACTGAGATTCCACTGCACGTTTAGATGAACGCCTCTTAAACTTATTCATAATAAAATGAAGTAGGTTCAAAAAGCATGGAGCGAATTGAGGTGCTTTTTTGTCAAGACGGCCGGATCACGCACAAAAATTTCGATTTCCGGGAGATTTTCATGACAACCGTACAAACGGAAGAAACAGTCCAAATCCAGGAGACTTGGCAGGTATGCAGACTTAGTGCGACATGGCTTAGCGTGATGGCGAGCCGACTCGGAGAGCGAGGATAGATGGCTTTCTCTGGCCTTTCATTACGTGTAATTTTTAGGCATACGCTGATCAGTCGACGCGGTGTTCGTGCCAGTGCCGATGTTGGGCGACGCAAGATTGAGCAGCAGGTCTGTGGCATGGCAGTTGTTAGGGGCAGTCCAGGACGTTGAAATTTTCAAGCACGTGTGCAGGGCGGCAGGCGGGTGCTCTACTTGCATGTTTTCAAGTACTGTTACAACAGACTTTTATGGAAACGCTGAATAGGTCTGTTATAACCGTAGAGAATCACAAGTCATATACGATTTCATTCACAATGGGGCATAAAAAAGTTGCTGTTTTGGAAATCCCTTTTCAGTGTCCAGAGCCTTTTCTCTATCTGATCACATAATATCTTTACTGAAAACTACGTACAAGTGCTATAAAAAGCTTTTTGCGCTTGCGAAGGTGGTGAAAACTTTCATGAAAGTAAAAAAAAAAAGGAGTTTTTAAAATTTTGTAGCTTTCCGACGGCACAACTGCCATTACCATTTTGGGCTCGTCATAAAAGTATTTTGTAAATAGTATTCCGTGTTCAAAAAGCAGATGTTTGAAATTCATTCAGAGGATTCCAATTGGCTGCTTCTGCCATATTACTCAAGTATGCCTCGCTAGTTCGATACTCGTTCCAGATATGCCTTCAGGATAGCGACGTCTGCTTCTAGTGCGTCGCAAGGTCACAGCCGTCTAAAATTGCACTACTTAGTGACATTTTCGAGCTCGTTGTGTGTTCACGGGTTGTTAAGGCAGCTACAAGGGGAAGTTCAGTCTTCAGATTACGATCGCACATCGTACTCGTCACGAACATCGCACACGCGTGTATCGAATTGAATGGCATAGTGTTGACTCGTTGGCGAAAAAGTTCTACTATCAGCGCTTCAGACCTTGCAACCAAGACCCCCAGGGGACAGATTTTTGTACGCGCGATCGAGCATGTCATACTTTGAAACATCAAGCACCACGGCCATGCACATCGCAGCCCCGCTTTTTGCTTGAGTCATGGTTAAGCCCAACTCCGCCTCAAACTTGGCAGGCAAGCCCGTTGCGCTAGTGGATATGCGAAAGCGAAGAAGCCGTAATGTGTTTTGTCACAAGCAACAAATCAGATCAGCCGCTGGCTTCCTAGAACCGCGAATATTGTGCATCGATAGCGAACCCCAGCCATGCTCGCCACACACCGAACGATCGGAACAGCGGTGGCAGTGGCCAGCAATTTTGTGCGTCAGCGCCATAAGGTGCAAAATCATGCATGCTGCGTGCGGATTTTTCGACGCCGTAGCTACGCATAACTAATCATTAACAGATCGGAGATATGCGGCCTTCGTTCTTAAATTCGTACGTCGATATCTGCGGACTTATTCCCGTCCCGAAACTATGCCAAGCGATGTTTGAAATCGGAAGGTATTGAATTTAAGATGTCCGCGGAAGAAGAGTCCACCGTAAAGGAATCCTGACCACCTTGCCGTTATCACATTTTCATATCTCACAATCATCTCACAATCATATCTGAATGTCCTTTGTACCAGAATCCATAGTAAACGATGATCAATCAATAACAAATAGGAAGGTCGGCATAATGCAGCAAATTAGTATGTAGTAACTCAATGTCTATTGTAAGCAGATCCGTTGTAATGAGGTTACACTGTATACGCATACTGCTGATTGTGCAGTCTCCCACAATAAAATACCGATTATAGTGCGGTTGCCAGAAAATATTTGTGACAAGACAGTAGCAAGTGTGCGTCTGAAAGGAGGCGTGCTGGATGCGCCGTTGGGGAGCGAGCAACAAGGTCATTACAGAGGAGGACAAGACGTAGAGGGAAGAAAAAGAAAAGAAAAAAAGGCCCTGGCACACTGCGTGAGTAGCCTTTGCACCGGCGGCAACGTTGCTACATTGCATGCGTCACTAGTGTGACTGTGGCCGCGCACGGCTTATCGACTATGCTTGACAGTTTCCTGTTGGGAAAAGTGTCATCATTATCCAACTTGCTACAGATATTGTACAGTGCAGTCCACTTATAACGATACCACATATAACGATATATCGGTTATAACGATGGGTCTACTTAACAGTCTCATATTATGCATTGGGGCTATGGGGAAAAAAACCATATATAACGATATGTTATCCACCGCATATCGGATACAACGATGAAACGTTCGCCGTGGACGGCATGTTTCATTCAGAATAATTGTAACATTTAGATTGATAAGTTCCTCTGAAACGAACTATGCCGAGACAAGACGAAAAGTTAGCGTAGGCGAGTACGTATCTGCCGCCACTGCAGCACAGCGCCGGCAGCGCGTCCCGGCCGTTCAAAAAGCCGAGGAGAGCATCGCGAGTTGGCGCGACGCGCTATAGTTGGCGCGAGCTGTGTCACGTTTTGCGCCTCGCCGCGCGTCGACCGCGGAGAGGCTGAGAGAATTTTAAAAAAAAAATGCAAAAAGCAAAGCGCCGCGGCGGCATCGGGGCGGGGCCTCGTTGGCATTCCGGCTGTGTACCTCTGGCTGTGCTTTCTTCCTCCCACTGCTCCCACCCCGCCGTCGGTCAGTCTCTCTTCCTCAGCGTTCGCGCCAGCAACGTCTAGAGCGGAGCAGAGACAACCCTCTATGGCGCCGACGAAGCGAAAGGCCGTGTCGCTTGAGACAAAGTCGAATATTTTGCAGGATTCGCGACGCGGTTTTAAACTGAGCGCCCTCGTAAAAAAATACGAGCTCGCCCAGTCGACGATCTCGACCATCCTCAAAGCCGGAAGCACCGTGCTTTTGAAGGCTGGAACCAGTGGCCGAACCCGTGATGCGTTCTTCGGAGTAACAAATAAAGTCTTGTTTTTGACATCCTACTATCTACAATATTTATTAATTGGTGAAAATAGCGAAATGAAGCCTGGAGCTACAGAAGGTACGTCCGGCGACGATTTTTTGGCGGCAGTCCAGATATAACGATCACCGGTTATAACGATCATATTTTTAGGTTTTCTCGATATCGTTATAACTGGACTGCACTGTATTTGCTGTCGCGTTCATAAATTCAAAATTCTTGACAGCTCTATCACGCGAGTTTTCGCCTTTGCTGCCAGTGCACAGTGCCAAACTCGGCAGATTTTCGTCATCCTTGATCTCTCGGCCACTTAGAACAAACTTCGCATCATGCACCCTGTTATTCATTCAGTGCTAGAGTGCAATCTTTTCAATGCTGGATCTTCATGTCTTGGGCAACATTCCCCCGATATATAAGTTGCAGTATGGTACAAAATCAAGGAAACTCTTTGTGGTGGCTGCACTTGACCTGAAGGAATACATATTGCTGATGAAAATTAGGGTGGCATGTGTAGCACTTGAGCAGTGGTTCCCGATTCACAGGAGCGCGCCCGGGAAGTCATACAATCAGCATCTTTCAGCAAGTGAAATTTTGGACACGATTCAACATAGTTTCTGCGTAACATGCATAATCAAGGCGGTTTGAGAAAGAGCCGACAAATATTCGTGGTTTTCTTTCATTAAACTCTCCCCTCCTGTTCGTAATCATTATGTTGATAACGTGTGTCTTCAGACATTAAATTTTTTTTTAACATTTGGAAATTTAAATGGTTCTACGCAGCAGGCATCGCATTTTTCGATTCTCAGACACTGCACGCTCAACACATTGAGGACCTTCCGTGCAGTAATTGTCTTTCGCTTTGTGCCTACTGCTGACTCGTATAGATGGCACAGCTCATCAGGTGGCGTTCAACTCGCTGCTTTTTTCTCGCCATCTCCAATTCTTGTGTACAAGCTGAAATAAAGACTTCATTGATTGTTGTTTTTCACAAGTGCAGCCCTTAAAGGGCCCGTAAACCACCCAAAGGTCGAAATTCAGTTGTTGCAGGGAAATTAAGCACGAGCGTATGACAAACACAGAGCCGTGAGAATGTTTCAAAACGGCGCAGTAATAGCGGAGTTAGATGTGTTTGATTGTCGAAGCCGTGACAATCACACCTTTCGCTCTCTCCTGCGCTTCCTTCCGCTGGTATCCTCTCCCACGTTGCTTTGCCCTCTCGCAGAGCCCCTCTCTCAATCTCGCGTGGCATACGTCATCGCTGACGCGCTGTTGAAACACAGTCTACTTCCGGTTGCCACGACTCCAACCGTCGACTCCGTCAGTTGCGTGCTTGTTGGCGAACCATGACTGTCGTAATTGTGCCGGTATGGAACCTGCGTTGCGCATATGTCTTCAAAGGAGTGCCAATGCCATAGACCGGTATGGGGACACGCCATGCCCCGCAAGTGTTACACGCAGGCAGGCAACACGACGAACAACAACAAGCAGCGTGGACAGCTGCTTGCAGACTGATTGGAAATCCTAGGCTCTTGCTCGAAAGCATATTTGGCATATTTGGCTCGGAGCGCCAGAGATGTGGCACGGCACGTCATGCTGAGGCCCGAAAGGCCCGGAAAGGAGGAGGAATTGTTTCTTAGAATGTGTGGTGCGCCGGCAGCTCGTAGCGCTGCCTCGTGCAGAATTGTTGATCGCAACGGCATTCTTCACACGATGCGCGCGTTTACTTGAAATGCTTGAAGAAATATTGGACGTGGTTTACGGGCCCTTTAAAAAAGGTTCTTTTAATCATAGTGCAGTACCACTTATTGCGCGGATATTCCTGACTCATGCGGCATACGTTATAAGCAGTCTACACTGTATACTTCCCAATAATACAAAGCGATTACCCAAACGTGCCTCCATCTCCACCTGTGTCCACTGCAAGGCGGCCTAGGGCATCGACGATTGCGCATCGCTTGCTGAAACCTAAAGAACCTGACGTTTCAGCGTTGCCGCTGATATTAAAATGAATTTCACCGGCTATCACAACGACTATTGTGCCGTTAGTAAATGCAGGACCTCAACGCTCAACTGGTGATTACATGCTTGCTATAATAGTGATTATATCCGAGTTTATTAGTTATGTTACAATGATGATTTATTATTTCTAAATCCATTGCTTCTGCTGCCCAGTCCCTCGTGCAGAAGATGATGGGACAACAAACGAGAACTCTGGTGCCAATACCTACCAGCCCTTTAGAATCGAAAAGTTTTCCAGCGGACGTCGTACAGGGCCGCCTTTAAGAAATACGCCGACGACAGAACACATACTACAATGGCGGTAGTAGGAACCTACCACCTGTGAGGCCACGCCAGCAGGTCACGGTATACGACACACACCAGAAGACCTGGGCTCCTGCAGTTCTGATTAGACCAATCGAGGAATACTGCTCGGTGATCGTGAAAACTGAATACGGCCGTGAACTTCGACATACAAGGAAGCACATCTGCCAGGTTGATCCGCAACACGAGTCCAGGCCGCCACACACTAGCCTTGTCCCTCAAGAGGGACCGTGCTCAACGCTGCCTCTACGATAAAGCACAAAACAGCAATGCACAAATTAGCATAAGTTTAGCCTCCACTTGAGAGACATTAAACCTGTGCTAATTTGGCTGTGAAAGATGTAGTAATTAATTATATGTGGAGTTTAACATCCCAAACCACCATATGATTACGAGTGACGCGGAAGACGTAGTAAGGCTCGTAAAGTGCCACGTCACTGTTTATGCCATTACTATGCATGCACTGCCGCAGTTGCATATGCAATCGCTCTTGTTTTTACAATAAAGTTGTTCATCCCTTGACCCCAACTTGCACACACTTGCTATTTCTATACTGCTGTTTTCCTCCAAGCTGTGTGAATTGTGAATTGCTTTGAGGTGTTTGTGTCAATTTCATGCTGCTATTGGCAGAGGTGTAGCTGACATGAGACTTATCTTTGTCCCTTGTAGCCTAAAACTCGCTGCCATCCAGACTCTACACAAGCTACAACATAAGAGCATCCAGCTCTAAATGCTAGGGCGACTGCAGGAGTTCTAGCGGAGTGACTGCCATAGTGTGAGGGGCAATCCAGAAGAAGAAACCAGTTAACATGCACGAATTTGTGTTTTCAATTATGTAAAATCCACTACAACATAGACAGCAGTACACAGGTTATTTCTTCAATTTATTACTTCTTTTCCTTACATTTATGAGTTTTACCTAAAATAAAATATCATTAGCAATGCACCACGATAACACTCTCAGCCTTTTCTTCCACTGAGCATATGATGTCACGTGGTTGTGCCAGTTATGAACACACGTCAAACCAGTAAAAATTGAAGTCCTCATTGGGCAAACCAGGGCTCAGAAAATAAATATTTGCAGCACAACAACAGCAGCAAGCAGTTGTCAGCAATATAGTATACACTAAAATGCATCACCTTTTATATACGCAGCATTGTTCAACCCAGCTTAATCTCTGGTTCTCATGCAAGCTCCCCGATACACCTCACCTACACGCATTAAACGTGCAATCCAAACATTTGAAAACATTCAAGAAAGTTCTAATACATTTAAGTGTACTGTTAGAGCAACCTGTATTATTGAACAGCCCGTGTAAATGTTTTAGACAGTGAAACCCAGTCTCCACGAAATAGGACAAGTACATGTGTCAACAATCCTTGCTCTTGATTAATTCTTTCTTTTTCTATCGGTTCGTAGAGTGGCACCTGTGGTGGCACTGCGGTCAGTGTTGCCTTCAGACAAAAGACAACACTTGTAGGCTTGGTGAGGTTTAGCAGAAAATTATCCTGCCGTCTGGTTGCCTTGCCACAGCTTCTAATTAATAAATGATAGCCACCCAACAGCTTTATGTGGTTTACACATGGCCAGCCAGCCATTAAAAATTTCAATCATGCTGAGCGTCCACTTACCTTGAAATTATAGTGGGAATCAAAAGGCTGTACACGGTGAAAGAAAACTGTGCAAAATTACACAAACTCTGTTATAACCAATAACTAACCTCGCCTACTGATGTTGTGCGCTTGGACTCGACCAGCACCTGGGAGCGTCCCACCCGCAGGGCACCAAGCAGCTCCGGAGGGGAGGCACGGTCCAGCACCAGTGCCTGCCCACTGGTACGCAGCCCCAGGTTCAATGCGAACAGTTCCACCTCGGAGGTCGAGTCAAAGCCCAGCTGCCGTCTAAGCAGATCCAGCGAGAACTGCGCATCAACCAGGCTTCGTACAGGATTTCAAGAAAATATTCGACTTTTCAAAGACCTTCAAAAATATTTAAGGAACATGATGTTCATTCGCCGTGAGCTCTATTGCACAAAGCAAAGGATGTCCAGTCCACTTTTTTAATAGTTCCATTAGCCTAGAAATTCGAAAGCTCAGGGGACGTCTTTCAGTTTCTTTTTTTATTTCCGCCTTAACACTATCAAGTTCATCAATCTTAATCTTCAGTCTTCCGCAGGCTGTTGAAATGCGCTAGGCTAGTGGCCGTGACCAGTGAGAGCACACTGTACTTTTTTAAGAAATTTGCCAAGGAATACCACTAAAAGCAAAGACAAAAGAAAACCTTTCAAACACTAATACAGTCAAATCTTATCTATACGTACCCGCTTTAAAAGTACTAGTGTCGTAGTTGTGACGAATCCCCGACTGAGTACCATAGAGACTAATAGATTCATGAACCACTTAAGTTGTAGTGGTTCGTTTTGTGCTTACCGGTTAGAGCGTACCAACTGCGTGCTGGGATAACCTTTTGGCCCATAAAAGTTTACGGCCCAGCTGAACTTGCAGACACCAACAAGTGCCGCAAACAGTTTCCCGTCATTCTAATAGATCTGCTAATCAATTACTCTGACTTCCGTGCAATCGCGACAATGATTTAAGGGAAAAAAATGTAGGTGAGATGGTGACCACAGACAAGTAAACCTATTGTTATTGAAAAACTTTATCATAGCAAGTATCCCAGTGGTAAGAATGCCTTCCAGCAATTTGGAGTAGCCATTGGAGCAGGCAGACTCTGCTTTTAGAGTAGCTGCCTTTGCAATTGGAGCACAAATGGGCTTTGCACTACACAATCAGATGAAGAAAAATTAGCTTTAATTAAGTTTATTCTTACCTCAGTTTACATAATCATTTATACAGAAGCAGCAAGCCCACAAAATAAGCACAGAAATAAACCGAAGTAGGATTACATACAGAAGCGCTGACATAAGATCGTGAAGAATATACCACCAAGCTACCTACCGCTCGAACTTCACAGCAGCACACAAACACATTCACACGTGCACAATTATTCAGGACTTGGTACAGTAAGATTTTATTAATACGTACATACATGATGAGAACCTGGCAGGAACACACCGAACTACGCACTACACGTAATATGCTTTAACCATCAAGTGCATAAGCGTGCTCAGGGTTACTCTTCGCAAGGGTGGGGGTGGAAGCAAATTTTGTCGCAGTGCCCCCATGCTATTAAGTCAATATACAGGGCTGGCTTTGCCCCCCCTCCGCCTCACATGCGCACACCTATGACCATGTACCAATTCGCATTTCTTTATGAGCACCATCACCGCTAAGGATGGAATAAATACAGTGCCACAGCAAGTATTGGATAAAGTGGCCACCATGAAGCCATTTTCAGAAAATGATTGGCATTCCCTCACGACCATCTGATGACACGCGGCGGCGACACCAAAGAGCGTTTCGAAGCTACAGCAGAATACGGGATATGCAGCCAATGCAGCGACTGACATAGGGACGAGAAGAACAGGATTGGCTGTCCGTGGTATATGTGTACCGCGATCTTCTACTTAGCGAAAATTAGCAGTTTTTTTGAGACGCAGTACTGCCACAGGAAGCCGATCATATACAGGCTAGTTGCGTGCAGCGCTTCGCCTACTTGATGTACACACAGTGTCTAGCTGCTTGCGCCTACTTCACTTCAAGACCATCCACAGATACGGTGAGAAGTTCGTTGCGTTAACACGATGATGCAAGGTTTCTGCAAGCGATGCTCTAGCAGTCCTGGCAGCAGACGGAAGACGGTTTGGGCTGTTGCCTCATAAAAGTGTGTGCAAGGCTTGCTGTCTCGATGCTCATCAACTCTGCAACAACGAGCTGCTTTCGTTTCTGCAAAGTGGTGCACGCTGAACACGGTCCCCCACAATGGTTCAGGAAGCAGCGATCAGCGCCTGAGCGCTCTCAGATAGTCACCGGCTACTAGAAGTAGCCGGTGACTATCTGACTATATATATATGCGTGCAGCAGGCTTAAAGCAGCACTACGACTTACATGTCGCTTTTTGTTTGTCGGCGATAAGTAATACTGGCGCGCTTTTCAGTAGTCGCCACATCACCTTTGTTGTTTGCCAATAGTTACTAGAAAAGCGAGGTCATGTCAGTCAGCCCGTAGTTCGCAGCTAAAGAAAGACATCGCTATGCTCCCTACCCCTGATGTTGGTAGTGCTCATCAAAATTTATTTTAAACAAAATTTACAGGAATAAAATTTTCCACATAAAAAAAAAAGGCACTGGATCACATAATTAACTGTCTCATGTATTTTTAGCATGACGGCTTTCATGCTTAATTTACGACTGAGTGTTCCCAAAATCGCTTTTTGTCAATTTCACAAGAATTTTTCTCAACAAATGTTTGTTTATAGGCATTTAAAATATTTTTAGCAAATAGTAAAGTTTTGCAGCTGGAACGTTGCACCAGTTTTTACAAAAATTGCCCGATTAGCGAGGTTTCTTGCTTCCTGGCTAAGTCTATTTAGGCTGCAGAAGTAATATATGGTTTTAGTTGTGACGTCACATGAAAGAACAATGGCAGTATAAACCTTTAAAACCAAATGTGTCGCCATATTCAGTTTGAAGGTTGCATACACATAATTTATTCATCCCTAATTCACTTAAAATCTCTCTCACATAGTTACCTTTCAGCTCAATTTTTTTTCAGCAGAATCACTGGTGGTCGAATTTTGGGCTGGGACTTTGAATGACCCAACTTTTACTTAAAGGGGGAGGCTACTATGGAAGAGCGACTTTTTTGTTTGTTGATTTCATTGAATGCTTCATCGAATGCTTACTTGAACAGAACGCGTGCCTAGTCCCAAACTTTGCCTTGCCCATTGCTAGCGACAGAACAACAATCAGCATCCCATGAGCATGGCAAAAGATTGTCTCGTAAAGTGCAAGATTAAAAAGTACGTGTGAGAACCAAGCAAAATGATGCCATCAGATAGGATGGAGACGCGGCGCCCGGAGGCGCTTTGTCGGCAAACGGGGCACATAAGCATGCCCAAAGAACACTGGCACTTGCAAGGCTACACTGAGCGAGCACCGGCACCGGAGCAGGCCCCGTAAACTCTCAAGTTCAAGTGATCACTTGTAGGGAGGCAAAAAAATAAACCGCGGCGCGTTGTGGCCTCAAACACCTGAAGCGGATCTACTGACCCCTCCATTATGCAGCACATGGGCGCCGCCATTCACGCTTTTGCTCTTTGTTGTAGGGGCGCCCTCATCGGGGCCAAGTTTAAATTCTAAAATCATCGAATATTACATTTTTGCATACCGCTATATATAAAAAACAATTTATTCTTATAGCAAATAGTTTTTTTTTTAACATGTGCTGCGTAATCAATTTTTTGTAATAGTTTTTGCTCCAGATCACTCATATTCAGAAGCAGCCTATCGACATCATTGTCCTCATTTCAAAATATATGGCGGCTAATGATAGCGACGGCAGGTAATGGCTCAAGGTACATTTGGATGTGTCTCGCACTGTTTTGTTTCACTGTAAATATTTCGAGCCACTGCCGACCGGCACACTCTTTTTTGTTCGGTTTATTTTGACTCATTAAAATGCTTTCGCAAAGATAAATTTCAGTGACTTCCGGTCTACGAAGCGACCGTTGAAGCTTTCATCGTATGAACACCTGTTGAAAGCCCAAGAATTATGGGCCGGTGAGTAGAAACCACTTCAGTTTTTTAAGGACGGTTGCTTGCTGGGCTAGTTCATTTCAACATATACAGTTTTTTGCCAATGAATGCGTAGGCATCACAGGGTGGCAGCGCATTGCAATAAATATTAAATTTAACATTAAACTTAACACGTGGGAACGAGTTGCTGACTCAATAATTAATTCTGATATTCTATCGCCAGGTAACACAAACCAAACCGTTGCAATGAGAGAAGGCAAATACATCACCGTTGCCTGGCATGTGTCTTTGTAGCTAGCCCATATATTAGTGCAAAAAACCTACCAGTTAATAGTTTACCGGAGTCACACTTGAGAAGCATCACATAATTATTGGCGTAGTTTTGCTATAGTGTGACAAAGAAAGTGTCACCTAACTCCGAAATATTTTTTTCTGCCACTGCCTCCTGGCCTACCTGACATGGAAGCAGCTGTGTACTATAGGCAAGGAACCTGCTAAATGACATGCCTTATGAAGAAGCAGCCCCGAGAGATACATTTGTTATGATGTACCATTACATATATGTATAAAATACTGCTGTTTACTAGTTAACCGAGTTTATTTGTGTTTTCCCCTACGGTGTCTCTCATACTCATATGGTGGTTTTGGGACGTTAAATCCCGCATATCAATGAAATCAATCAATCAGTTAATTTGCTTACATTGGGAAATTTCATGCATTGATTATGTTTATCAATATTTGGTGATGTTACTTGTTTTTCCAGACTGCCATGCAACAACAGGATGACTACCCCCGAATGACCCCTCTGCAAGCACGTTGAAACATCTGAACGTCCACTACAACAGGTCATCTCGAACCTCACACATGCAATGCTGTATTTGTGAATGTTTTACCACGCAGATCGTGGAGGGGTGTCTTAGATTGGCCACAAGCATCGGCTGTCTACCGTAGCATAGAATCTACACTTCAATAACATGGAAACTGAAACACTATTTGGTAGATTGTGTGGCATTGCTTAGTTCAACAATACAGGTTTGATCCCAGCCACAGTGGCTATGTTTCGATGGGGGTGAAATGCTTAAGGGTTTGTTCGTATGCTCACAACAAACGCTCGATGCTTAAGGGTTTGTTCGATTCGCCTGAACAACATGATGAATTTCACGAGTTGCTGCACCTCATCATTCGTTTCAGCGTTGCAGCAATAATGTTCTCTAAACTGTGCCATTCATTTCAGAAAGAGCAGGAGAGGTACAGCACTAAAACTA